TGGCTGAGCGAGGTGTGGGAGCAACACTGAGGGTTGCGATCCCGTAGCCGGTCCCGGTCCAGTACGGGCGCGACACTGAGGGTTGCGATCCGTTGCCGGACACGAAAAAAGACAAAAAGGAAAAAAAAAAAATGGGCAAAGGTTGTTGACTGGTAACTCATAGAAGAGGAAACTCTATTAGATAATAAACAAATGAAGAGATGTTCATCAGCACGATATGATCAGTATTAAACAAATTAAATTAAATGAGGTAGGATCATGCATATTCAACCAACAAAATATTTGAATGTCTGAAAATGGTAAGTGTCTGTGAGGGAGTGAAGAAACATGAAGTCTCATATTGCTGACAGAGTAAACTGATACCACTATTACAGCAGCCAACTAATAATATTTGGTGAAGTTGAAGATGCATGGTCCACTTCCGTACATACCCTAGAGAAACTGTCAAATGAGAACATGAAAAATATGCACAAGGATATTTTCTGCAATACTGTTTGTAATACTAAAAAGCTAATAGCATCCTCAATGGTCATCAGTAAGAGAATAAGTTAAAGATGGGATTAAGCAGAGAATGAAATACTTATAGCAGGTGAAATAAATGTACTAGCTCTATTTACATTTATCAACATGCTATACATAAAAACATAAGGCTGAGCAATAACAGCAAATTGCAAAAGGATATATATCATTAAACCAACTAAGTTTAGTTTTAAAATACAAAGAACACTACATATATTGTGGTAAAAATATAAAATCATGAAGGGTAAGGATAGGTACAAACAAGATGGTGGTTCTTCTTGGGAGGAAGGAAATGACATAAGTAAGATCATAATGGATATGTAGCTTTATATTTAAAAACAAAAGGATCTAAAGTAAGAAAAAAGGATCACAGTGGTTACAACTGGACAGGGGCTGTATGTCAACATCCTTAGTTGCAAACAAGATCTACACTAGCTAGTTTAAGCAAAGAACTAGCTCTCAAGTATCAGGCTTGAAGGTCAGGTTACAGGGCTCTGACATATGCCCATTATTACACCCCAGAGCAGCTGCTGTGGTAAACCTGCTGAGCACAGACCCCACACCCTGCACGACATGACACCTCTGCCACTGTTGCCTTGAAAGCCACGTCACTGCTCCCTTCATCAAAATGGATTCCATGTGGGCCGACCCGTTGCTCACTTGGGAGAGTGCAGCACTGGGAGTGCAGTGGCGCTCCCATCGCGGATTCGGATCCTATATAGGAATGGCTGGTGCACTCACTGGTTGAGCGTGGTGCGGATGACACCAAGCCAAGGGTTGCGATCCCCTTACCGGTCACAAAAAAAGAAAAAAAAAAATGGATTCCATGTGTTAATGTCTTCACAGCACTCTGGTCCAAATTTCCCACAGGTGTGTCTAATTGATGAACCTAGGTTACCTGTCTGAGTCCTGGCTGCAAGGAAGGGTAGCAACTAGGCTCACTCTTACACTTGGTAAGTAAGATCCATAGGGTGGGAAGTCACCAAACAGTGGGTGTTCAGACAGTGCTAGGTGCCCAAAAAGCATGAAAAATGCCCACTCAAATAGGAATTTGATAAATTATTCCCTGTACTTTTCTACATGCTCAAAATACTTCACAATTTTTTTAAAGAAAAAATGTTAAAGCATGGATTCACAAACAACAAAGGGAATAGAAGAGAAAATCAGCAGCAAAGAAGAAATTTCGACCAATTCCTAAAAAATGGAAAAGTGACTAATGAAATGTCAGCACCTAGAAGGCATGTGGAGAGAGAGTTCCATCAGAGAAGGCAGTCGACCTGCCCAGCTAGGCCAAAAGAAGCTCAAAGATGGCAGAAGGCAGTAAGGGGCTAAAAAGAAAAGGAGTAAGTCTGTATACAAACCAGTTGACCTTTATTCTATATCCTCCATCTTCAAATGCAGAAGGGCCTGAATCCAGGCATTGCCCCCAGGCAAAACATTAGAGGGATCTTTAATGAAATAAGTGAAAGAACCGTCTCAAGAAAACAACAGTCAATATAGAAATTGGTAGCCAAGACTGAAGTACTCTTAATTCCAGCATTTAGAAACCCCCATCATAATAGCTTGCTCCGCCTACTCATCCTTAGTGATGCCTACAAAAAGCCGAACAAGACCAGACCAGAGTTGCCAACCAACCTCCTTACAGCCCCATTTTCAACTATGAGCTATGAGCTAACAAACACTAGACATTGAGGGCCGACCCGTGGCTCACTCGGGAGAGTGTGGTGCTGATAACACCAAGGCTGCGGGTTCGGATCCTATGTAGGGATGGCCAGTTCGTTCACTGGCTGAGCGTGGTGCTGACAACACCGGACCTTCATCTTTAAAAAAACAAAAAACAAAAAAGCTAGACATTTGAAAAAAGCCTTTAAACATAAATTGAAAGACTAAGAAAAAAAAATCTGTCACCAGAGGAAAGAGATAATTCAGGGACTAGAAAATAAATGAATAAAAACTCTGTTACTATCTTCAGAGATTCATGAAGATATACCACATCTGTTAAACATAAACAAGATACTATGAACATGAAATTAAAATATGTTTGACATAATAACACTAATTATAAAGATTAGAATATAAAGGTACGAAAAATGACAGAGAGAGGAAAAAATACAGAGGACCAATACAGATGATCCAAATCCAATTAAAAAGTGTTAGAGAAATGAAGAACAGAGAAAAGAGAAAGAATAAAGTAAAAAATAAAATTTCCTAGACCTGAGAAGAAATGTCAAAAATGGAAAGGACCTACTATGTACCAAGCAGAATAAGTGATTGATAAGACCTAGATATAAATACAAAATTTTAGAATTTTACAACAGCAAGCATAATAAGGTCCTAACAGCATTCAGTGTGTGCTGGAGGGAAGGGATACAGAGCTTGCAGATCATGTGATGGAGTTTGGATGTGTTTTCCCCTCCAAAACTCATGGAAATTTGATCTCCAATGTGGCAGTGTTGGAAACTGATTGAGTCATGGGGGCAGATCCCTCATTAATGGATTAATGTTCTCCCTGGGGGAGGGGGGATTAATGAGTGAGTTCTTGCTTTATTAGTTCCCACGAGAGCTCGTTGCTTAAAAAGACCCTGGCACCTTCTCTCTCTCTCTCTTGCTTCCTCTCTCTCTTGCTTCCTCTTGCCATGTGATCTGCTTGTATCCACTGGTTGCCTGCCACGTTCCGCCATGAGTAGTAGCAGCCTGAGGCCCATGCCAGACGCAGCTGTCCCAGAATCGTAAGCCAAATAAACCTTTCTTCTTTATAAATTACCCAGTCTCAGCTAATTCTGTTATAGCAACACAAAACGGACTAAAACAGAAAATTGGTACCAAGGAGTGGGGTGTTGCTAAACAGATACCTGAAAATGTGGATTCAGCTTTGGAACTGGGTAATGGGCAAAGGTTGGAAGAGTTTGGAGGACTTAGAAGAAGAGAAAAAGACAAGGGAAAGTTTGGAATGTTTTAGAGACTTACGTGGTGGCGAGCAGAATGCTGATAGAAATAGGGAGAGTAAAGGCCAGCAGATGATGAGGTCTCAGATAGAAATGAGGAACTTATTGAGAATTGGACAAAAGATAACCCTTGCTACACCATAGCAAGGAACTTGGCCACATTGTGTCCCCTACACCATAGCAAGGAACCTGGCTACATTGTGTCCATGCCCTTGGACTTTGTAGAAGGTGGAACTTAAGAGTTGTGAACCAGAGCATTTGGCCAAAGAAATTTCTAAGCAGCAAAG